CCTCTACGATGTCTTTATACGTGAGTTTACCATTGAATGTGGTGAGACAATCACAATCTTCATTCGTTGAATTCGATTGTCTGAGTTTATACACGATTAGGAGCCCAACTGAAGCAAATAGAAGTAGAGGTGCACCAAGAAGAGGGATTACCATCATCAAAATGAGTTTGTCGCCATTTCGAGTCTCATGGTTTTTGCTTTTGCATTGTTGTAATCCTGCAATATTTCCACACAATCCTTTGTTCCCTCGTAGTTGTTCTATAGATATATTTTGAAAGACTTTGCTATTAGGAATCGGACCCTCCAATTCATTATAGGATATATCAATGTCCACTGAGCCAGGCATTTCTCGAAAACTCTCAGGAATGAGTCCAAAGAGGTGATTGTGGTTGAGGTTTAACATCTCCAGGCTCGACATTTTTCCTAATTCAGATGGTATTTCTCCAGTGAGTGAATTATTACTCATATCCAACTTGGACACATGAATTAACTTACCAAGCTGAATAGGTATTCCTTGGCTTAAATAGTTGTTGCTCAAATTCAAGTGATACAATTGCCTGGAATGTGCTAAATATCTCGGTATTTGACCTGTCAATATGTTTCTGGAAAGGTCAACGTATATCAACTGTGAGAGTGATCTCAATTCTTCAGGTATATCCCCAGAAAGTTGGTTGTCATTCAAACAAAGTTTCAGAAGTGAAATTAACTTCCCAATTTCCGTCGGGATCTCCCCATATAACTTGTTTGAAGAAAGATCGAGTAAACGTAGTTGACTTAAATTTCCTAATTCTGGAGGAATGCGTCCTGAAAGGTTGTTCCTTGCAATTTTCAGACATAGTAGCTGTTTGCTACTAGTCCAATTGCTGGATAGTTCGCCAAAGAATTTATTATCACTGAGATCGATGAATGTCAAATTTGGATAGACACCAAATTCTTCGGACAGATTCCCAGAAAACCGGTTTTGTTCAAATCGGACTCTGGCAAGACTAGAGCAGTTCTTTAAGGTCTGAGGGATTGGGCCTGAAAGTCTATTGGAATGCACAGCTAATCTTTCTAGTACTCCACCACTACATAACTCTGGCAAATGACCGGAAAATCGGTTTCTATATAATGTCAGCCTGAGCAGTTTATTTAATTTTCCCAGTTCACTTGGAATGGAACCAGAAAGATTGTTGTGAGGTAGGGACAAAAAATTTAAATGGCTTAAATCACCTAAAGAAATTGGAATCGGACCTGTGAGATTATTTCTTCTCAAGCTTAGTCTCTGAAGTGATTTTAGCTTCCCTAACTCAGTAGGAATCGAACCTGAAAGTCGATTATCAAAGAGGCGCAAAATAATTAGACTTGTAGCTTCACCTAGCGAAGCTGGGATTGGACCTGTAAGATTATTTGTCCCTAAGTTTAGGCTCTGAAGTGATTTTAGCTTCCCTACCTCAGGAGGAATTGAACCAGAAAGTTTATTTTTGAAAAGGTGCAAAATTTGTAGCTGATCCAAGTTTCCGAGACTGGTGGGTATGGAACCTCTCAGCATGTTTGAGGCCATGTCAACCTCTACAAGATTGATTAGATTTCCCATCTCTACAGGTATGGATCCAAAAATTTGGTTGTTGCTGAGATTCAAATAAGCAAGATTTTGAAGAGATGTGAACGGAAACTTATAGAGAGTGGCATGAATACTTACATTTGTGAGGTTCAGTCTATGAACACTTCCATTGATGCAAGAAATTCCATACCAATTGCATGGATTGGCAGTTGCTTTTGGATGGCCAGAAAAATTGGTGGAATTGATGGGTTCAAAGGTCCATGAATTTAGCATCGAATTGTTGGGATTTTCAAAACTGGCTTTCCATTTCAGTAGATCATTTGCTTCTGTAGCAGAAGCGCAGACAGGGTTAGGATAAATGAACAAGAGAAGAGATGGGAACATGAAAAATCTGAAATGAGAGTATTTCAGCATGTTTTTTGTACTCGGGAGCAAATTATGAGGGAAAAAGTTCAGCATGATGATGTGGAACGGTAATTTATACACACAAAATTGAGGGAAAATTGCAGCATTAGTTCCAACCTATTCACTTAGCAGCAAACTGGTCTCAATCTAATCTTTTTGTCAGTTAAGTCCCCAGCCTATAGTTTGAGTCCCAATGGACAGTCCACTTCCATCCAATTGGTTGTAAGCGTCTAGAAATTCATTTTTCTTCAATTCATTTTCAATCTCACATTTTTCCAATAAAATAATTTTGCATGCAACACGATCTTTTTCCTACTTTTTAATAACACGTTCTTTAAAAAAAATCACTGTTACATAATTTATTCTCCTAAAAAATAGGGCTCAAACAGCGAGGACTTTTACATCACGTTTCTGGAGGGTAAAACTGGTAAAAGAAAAATGGTTTTAAGAAATAAATAGAAAGAAGAGGAGAAGAAGAAAAGAAAAAATGGGAATGATCAAATGGGGTCTTTCTTTCTTTCTTTTCTTTTGATTTATTTTGTGTAAGTTACAAGTGTAGATCAGTCCTCCTAATATCGGTTAATTGGATGGATTCTGTCCTTTGAGGACTGCTTTCCTAATGAAAGGATAGCTTGGGGATTCAAATGGTATAAGAAATAGATCGGGGACTAGTATTGCAATTTTCCCATTGTAGAGAGATTACAGTTATTCAAAGTCAAATGCGCGTTAAAAACTCGTCAAACCAGAACAAGTAATAAGGAATTGAGCCGCCAAAAACTATTTTATTCAAGTGTATCCAAAAACAGAAAAATGCAAAAGTCTGCCACATTCACTACTTAGGGAAACGGAGGGTGTGGATTCACAGACAACTCACATAAGATGGGTCCCACGTGGGACCCACCTCAATAAAAAAATAAAAAGAATTACCCCACGTAAGCCACCTGTACACCCAGCATTTCCCCTACTTTAGGTAGGGATTAACAACCCCGTCCCTCTTTGACCCTATTTTAAAAATTTTATTTTTACTTAAATTTATTTTTAATCACACATTTCACGGAATCTATAATCTTTATCATTTTTTATCAAAATTTAATAAAAAATTGATTCTTATCTAAGACGAGTTAGGGCTAGAAGTTTGAATGGCACAATTCGCAAAACTAAACATCGCTGTGAAGGTGGTGAATGCAATAAGTATATCAAAAAGAGTAGGGATATTTACAGTGATCAACTATCGTAGTCATCATGTGTGAAAGTCTGTTATTTGAGACATTAACTTGTTATTTGAGATAAAAGAATTACAGAAAACTAATATCTCAAATAACAAGCTACCACATAAAATGACTATGGTAGTCGTTAACTATGAATTGTATTATTCTATTATAAACAATGTGCACGATTGGCCAATATTATGGATTTGAGTGAATGCATTTAGTTGTAACCATGAACTTCAAAATCTCTTCTTCACGAGCGGGATACAATATGCGGGAATCCAACAAATACTTCAACTGTAAACATATCTGAGGTAAGTCACCTTGACGATTGCCTTTAGATCACTTCTAATGTTAACACTCCGAAACTGCGCACATCACACTTTTATGTAACCTTCTTATTCTATCAAAGTGTCGTTCCAAAGAAATAAAATTGAATTGCAAGCTCAACTACTCCTCTCCTCAGTATTGTGAACACGTTATCTTCTTCTTCCCATGTTCTTAACAATCAAATCTATCAAGAACTCAACAAAGACATGCACAAAAAATATCAAAAAATCAGACTACGTTATTTTATAAGAGCTAAAATTTAACGTCATTATTTAAATTAATATAGCATCGTCGTAAATATTAAAATTTTTAACTATTGTACAGAATTCAGAAATCAAACCAAACCCAAACGTTTCATACTTAAATTTAGATCCGACAGTTCTACTTATCAAATACCCGAAAATGGGGTTCAATTCAATTCTTGTTAGAACCGAACCAAACCAAACCATGTCCAACCTTACTGAGAACTACAACCAAACGATTATTCACCACAATATTTTAGACAGCACGACAGACAATTTCAACTCGAGAACCGAACTGAAGCATGTCCAACTCCACTAAGAACCATAGCCAAATGATTATTCACCACAGTATTTTTGACAGTCCAACAGACAATTTCAAATAACTTTTTCTTAATCATCTTCGGGTAATGCTACATGTACACACACACACACTTTTACACAATCTTTTACACCTCTCTCACATGGAGGGGGGTCCACGATTATTTTATTATGTGTGGGCCCCCTCCATGTGAGATGGGTGTAAAAAATTGTGTACACTTAGCATTATTCAAAAATAAAAGGGANTATGGGTAATGCTACATGTACACACACACTTTTACACAATCTTTTACACCTCTCTCACATGAAGGGGGGTCCACGATTATTTTATTATGTGTGGGCCCCCTTCCATGTGAGAGAGGTGTAAAAGATTGTGTAAAAAATTGTGTACACTTAACATTATTCATCATCTTCACTATTGTCCAGATCCACGCAGAGAGCATGCTGTAAAAGTGTTTATCACAGCACATTACGAATCAATAAAATTACAAAAACAGCCCGCCAGATTACTACATACAGAAACCACCTTTAAACTTTACAAAACTGCAACAGTATCTCCTAATAACATATTCCTCTTTCCAGTTAGCAGGCATAATAATTCAAGCATCTGATGAGCTAAAACCAGGGTGGTGTTGCATAGATAAATTGAGCATATATCCGTGAGGATCAAGCAGCAAATTTATTTATCGGACGCACTCCTACCGCATAACAAAACAGGAGTATTTTGTAGATAAAAACTATGTATTACCATTAAAATCCCACCAAAAAACTAAAAACCAACATTATTACTCAGTACCAGACTTATTGAAATAATTGCAAATGAAAGCTATGGTGAAGGGCACTAACATTGTTATACAGAGAGTGAAAAGAAAAAAGAGAGAGAAATTAGAATTCATATAAAAAGAGATCTAATAGGACATCCCATGAAAGAGGCAACCAACGAGTAGGGGTGACTTAGTCACACTGCAATTTCATCCCAACAAGAGGCAATTGTGAACAAAGCACATCCACGGCACCCAGATACAAAACAGCTACCAAACCATTCATCAAAACCAGCAGAGCATCAGTTTCTATAGCTACGAGCAAGAAGTGCATCAACAACCGATCTACAACAATATTGACTATCACTTCGCAGCTACAGCCACGAGCTCATGTGCTGTAACATAATGCCAACCGATATCAGCTTAATCATATGCATCCTGTTGTAAATGCTAGATCACTGTGGAGTGTTAAAAGTACATAGCGTCCTAAAAGAGGCATTAAATGAAGAGCTGAATAGACCACCAGTTGCTGCAAGACGATTAATATCTCACCGCACCATATTCATCTTAACAGCAACATTGCACGTGGCTTG